TCTCTTGTAAGTGATGTGCAATTCATAATCATCTACAGAAGAACACTGTTTGTGTTTCAGATACATAGATGAAAACCATGTTTGAAACTGCCACATACTATTTGTGGCTTTTACACTGTTCATGCAAAACCAGGATTGAATATTTGGATTATATTTTAAAATCAGGGTTTGAAGTTCATTGTATGTTTCTATATTGTTCTATTTAAGCTTGATATTGATATATTCTCCTTGGGTATTCACCTTCTTAAAATAACCTAAAAATTCCATGAGTTTGGAATTTTAGAAAGCTTTGTGAGGCTATTGATATCTAATAACTCTAAGCTTACACATTTTATAATAGCTTAATATATCAAGGGGTAGTCAAATATTATTTTCAAGATAAAATACTTAAAGGAGAGTGAGAAGCACAAAAAAAAGATTGATTTCATTGTACTGAATATAATTGTAATTGGGCCATTAGCTGACAGAATCCTGTGCTGGCTAGAAGGATAAAGGTATGATATATGCACACAAAAATGAAGGCTGGAAGATGAATAGGCCTTCTAGGGAGTTGATCTTTACAGATCAGATAGGGATTCTTCAGGTCTCTTTCTTGCAGTCTGTGCTACATCAAAGGCTGTCTTTCAGAGATAGTAATGTGCACTTGGAATCTGGGGACAAGACCTTTGAATATAGACAGTTTTGAGATTGACAGGCAGCTGGGCTTTCGGTTTGTAGTTGTTGGTTTGCTTTTTTTTTTTGTGTGCGTGTGTAATCTTTTGTAATCCTTTTAAAAGTTAAAGAAAAGTTCATCAGCTGATGGAGTAAATAACACTTGCATCTTATCTATCTTTCCCAATAGCTGCTTTGCTTTAAGGGCAACCATTCTCTTCAAAAGATTTAAGGAAATCTAGTGGAAGATAGCTCTTGACTTCTTTCGAAGTTTGATTAAAAATACTTATTTGTGGGCGGTGGTTGCCTTTCAAGGGATAATTGTTCTTTTATTGATGCGCTAAGTATTCTGAAAATTCTTGCACAATTTAGAAAATAGCAAGGGAGAGAGCAGTTCTCATTCATTAAAATAAGTTAAAATAATAAAAAATAGGAGGTAGAAATAATTGTTTCATCTAGGAACATTTATTGAACAAATGCTTGTTTAATCACAGTGTTTTCAAGCACCTTAAATTTGACATCAGCTACTGTGTCAATCACACTGGCTAAATCTAGCATCAGCCCTTTTGATCTCTTTCTTACTTAGAAGCACCATGTCACAGCTGTCGGGCACTCTCCAAAAACATAGGAGTAGATGCTACAGCATTTTGTTAGCTTTTGCAGCCCTGTCTTCCTGATCATGGTTTCTCAATTTATGTACTACTTCCAAGTAATCTGAGTATCATTTCCATAATCTGAGAATCCTTGTACTCCAGCAGACTGTACAAAGTAGGGTTTTTTTAAATACCTTGAAGTAAGCCAGAATGTTTCTGTTACATGTCAGTTTTGTTCCTTTTCCCCTTTTTAGCGGTGTTTGGTTTTTTCATCCTCTCTATCTAAAAAGATGATGTTAAATAGAGCTTCATTCAAGACCTGAAAACATCTCACAACTTTTGTATTCACAGCATGCATACAGAGACGTGGAGTAAGAAATTATTAAAACCTAATATGCAGAAATATTGTTTTGCATGTTTGTTTTAGAACCATTTCTGCTTATTTTCTTACATATAAAAGTATGAATCTCAACATTTTAGTATTTGCTAGAGAAACCTGTGGGGAACTGCAGTGGGTCATGGTGTTAAAGAAGGTGTTACCTTATTAAACTCTCGTTGTAATGAGAGGGAAAATGGGAAGTGTCAGGTGTCAGCGTGCTGTTGTGTTACTCCTCTGTTGGCATTCTCCAGAGACTCCTCCATCAAAACAGGGAAGGCAAGACCTGACATTTGCATACCTCAAAAGGAAGCAGGCACGATTTCTTTGAGAGAGATGAAAAATTAGTCTCTCCTTGTGTCACAATAAAGGGCATAGGTAACTTGAGTTTGCTTCACAGTCTAGCTTATTTTTGACCCAAGAGTCTTGACTTCTTACTCTTGCTCTTAACAAAGCACTCTCGGTAGAAGGGTGAATGTCTCAGTCATTAGAGTCCATGTTGCTGTAGCAGTAGCATTTCTCCTTGCATAGAAATGAGGAACTTCTCAGAACACTTTAGCTGCATAAAATACTCTTTAATTTTTTTTTAATTTATTTTGAATACTCTTACCTTATCTTTTCTAAAAATATCAAAGGTATTACACAGGAGAGAATGATTCTGGTTTTCGCCTGCACAGACGTCCTATCAGTCAACCCCTATCTTTTGAAAAAACACCTTCTTCTTGAAAATTAAGTCCTTGCATGATCTGTGTCCTTATGATAGCCTGCACATAAACATTGATGAAGTCTTCTGCTGGAGACGAGCTGGGTAATCAGAGGCCTGGCTCGTGGTCATATGTGGGGCGTGGTTTGGTTGAGTCAAGGAACACAGCTGTTTTCTCATTGTTCATCATTGTAACTGGTTGCTTGTGCCTTCATATGAGCTTGACTACCTTTAACAAACTTTAACCTTACGCTCTGTACACATACCTCAAATGACAACTTCTCATTTTGGAAACTATTTTAAGATATAAAGAGCTGTTGAAATTGTGCGTAGTGTTATTTAGCAGGTTATTTAGACAGTTAGGATGGGTTCTAACTTAAACCTGATTGAAAAATTCTTCAAGGAGAAGAATTTGATGGGGAATATTCTTTTTTCCTCCATTTGAGACCAACCCCCCTCCCAAAAAAAAAAAAACCAACACCCAACAAACAAAACAAACAAAACCTTTTATTTTTTTAATTTGCTTTTAGCATTTTTGCTTTATAGTACAGATTGGCTGAAGAATCTACCAACTTTTCATGAAGCTGAGGAATTTCAAGTGTGGCTGCAGTTCTTTCGATGCAAAATTCGTAGTAATGTTAATGGTCATTATATATTTCTCTTCATAATCCATTTATCAGTTTGTGCATTTGGATTCTACTGTCTATTGTAGGAAACAAGTGCAGTTCACTGGGTACCTTAAGGTAACGAAGCAGACTGTGAGGGAAATCCGAGGGCAGTGTTAACTGCAGCTATTTACATGTGCAGTAAGTGTCATATCTTGCTTTGCTACAATCTGGTGAAACATGACTTAATCAGCGTGAACTCATCAGAGGATAGGCCAAATTTAGATGCAGAACTAGCAATAGTGAGCGAAGAAATTAGATGGACAAAATTGTTCTAGTATATTACCAGAAAACTGAAAATACTGCAGGTATCTGAGGTGTTTGTCCAGTGAGGTCAAGGGAGAGTTGTACTGTGTTTTTTCCCAGTGTAATGCATCAAATTATATCATAGGTTTTCCTTTGTAAATGTGGTACTTGGCTACTCTAGAGGGCACCTCCAGTTGGCAGTGCCTGTAAGATGCTAGTAGCTTTCTTTTAGCTAAGAATCGTTTGAATTGACAATAAAACGAATGAGTGTGGACACATTTTCTGGCAGCAGAGCACACAGGTTTGTTGGGTTTTTTTGTTTATATAGGATGATTGCAAATGTAAAAGAAAGGAAAGGATCCTAAGTTTTGCTTTGTGAAATTTATCATCCTGATAGTTGTTAGAGGGGTGAGAGGGCCTGCCCGCATGGGATCAGATAACATAGCGGTTGCTATCCCGGACTGTGGCTGAGGTGAGATCCTGACAGCACCATCTCTGCGATTCCAGCTTACGTGAACTTTCTGGTCATATTCCTTTTGGTTGTTAGCAAGAACTGACAGTTGACGCAACTGAAAATGTGACTTAGACCACCAGTTCATTTTGTGTAAGAATTGGTCTGAATATTAAAACGATCATCAGGCTTACTGTGCACATATTGTTACACTGTAAAGCATTTTCATCCCTAGTTATCTGGTGGCTATAGCCAGGCTGTTTCTGTTAGAAAGGGACCATGACTCCCCAGAAACAGTTGCTAAAATTTTTATTGGGTTATACAATAATTTAGTTCTCAAAGTAAGTCACTCAACAATTAGGACATGGCTGAGTCCACATGAACTACGTTCACATCAGGTAGCTGCTTCTTCAGAGCGCGCTTGCTTGCTTTCAGGATGGGTGCTTGCCTCCAGGGCTGCCGGCACTGGGGATGCTGTGTGCAGCTCAGCTGGAGAACACGCATTATGCTCGGCAACTTTCATTGTAGTAAACTCCTCATAAGCATGTACAAACAGCTTTATTTTAAGGACTTATAATTTTGTATGCGGAGGGACATATCACCAACCCAATGGATGTGCCTGTACAAGAGACTGATGTGCAAGAGGATGATCTGATCATTCCTGAGGGCTGCGCTTTGCTTCCTGTGGGGCTAAGTGGACAAACTGGATTTCTTTCAAATTAATTTAAATGGGAAAAATGCCCTCTAGGAGCATGCCTGTTACTCTCCAACTGCTAATGTGTATTCAGTCCATGGGACCAGCCTACAGCTAGTCCAAATTACTGAGTTTTTATGGGTCCCTAGTAATCGCGGGAGATGTCAGTACTTCTTATAATTGAAGCTAAATAATTTAATGGAGAAATAAATGTCCATAATACAGTGTTTTAACATTCTAATAAATACTTGTCATTGGATGGTAGATTAAATTAATACATATAAGGCAAGGTGGTGTGTGTAAGGAGAAAGTATTTTCAGAAGGATGTTGATGGATTTTGAACTTAATTAGAACTTCTTAAATGACATTGGAATGAGGGTTAAGTTTTCTAATGCATGATTACAGTACTTAAGTAAGCAAATAATACAGAAAATAGCATTTCTGAAATGAGATGGTGCATCTTTACTTAAATATGCATAATTTTCCAGTAAGTGCAAAAATGCATAGATATATAGAAAATTATATAGAGAAAACATGTATATGAAGAAAATAAAAAAGACTTTGCTATGTGAAGAATCAGTAAAGACTAAAATGTATGTCCTCTCTCTCTTTGGTCTTCAGCGCCTTGCTAAAGAAGCAGAGAAGTACCAAGCATCACATCAGTGGAGGGATGAATTTGGGGTAAGTTTCAATTTTTCTCCTTTTAACCTCTCGGATTTTTCCTCTTTGAAATGTTAACTATATTCTTACAAACATGTTGTTTATATATCCACCACAGAAGGAGTCATTGACTATGAATGAGCATTTTATTTTATTCAGTAAACAGAGTCTCAGTCTGGGTGTCTAGAGAATAAAGTGGACTTTTCACTTCAGAAGCTCCTAGGGAGCTTTGCAGACCTAGGGATGTAGTTCTGAGGTGTACACAACACATCTGTTTGTTTTGACCTGCAAGGAATGATTACAGAGAAGGTATCTAAGTGATGGTTACTACCAATTGAAAGTGTGCTACTCCAAGCACTGAAACACAGAATCATAGAAAAGATTTTTAGAACTTGTCTTTTGCTTATGTGGTAGAAAAAAGCAGGAAAAAGCTTAATACAGAAGGATTTGGTTATCTACATGACTGTCTATATTGGGAGTCATAGACTATTATTTTAGAATCCTTTTCCATACTTTAATAACTGTGTCTCTTCTCTTCAGTATTCTAGCTGAAAGAGGCCTTAACCCGGTCAAACACTAAACTATCTTCTTCAATCATTTCAGACTTCACTGAAAAACAAGTGAGATGATTGTAAAATGTACAACATTAATTCTTTATTACCGAACAAGCCAAATTAATATTGTGCTGCATGATTATAAGCCTGTTAATTTTAGGCTACAGTTCCCTGCTCAGTGTCAAAGTCATTTATTATGCCTTCATTACCTGTTCCTTCAGAAATAAAAGCAGATGGTGCTTTTACGTGATGCTGCTACAGACCTAGACTGTGTTTGTACATCCACTAGAATCATAGTGGCACATAGTTAAATGCACAATGGTTTTCTATAATGTACTTTCTGATCCAGTGTTCCTCAGACATTTGGAGATCTGAAAACAAACAGACAAAAAAACCCTCTAAGGTCAGGCCAAATAATTCCGATAGATAAGAGTGACTAGCTTTGAGGAGTGCAAAGAGGTCTGGACACAGCCTGAATGCTTTTAAGTGTGCTTTCTGCACAGGCGCAGCTTCTAATACACGGTAAAACACAGAATGCATATTCCATAGGGATGCAATAATGAGAATTCTACAGCAACCTTTTTGCTAATCTGTCTCTGTTTTGAATAGAAAAAAAATCCTGCAGGTTTGATGGACTCAGTGCAGAACAGTGTGAATATAGTCAGATGCTCTTTCTAATCATTTCGGTTCTTACTGTACACACTGGCATCACATCAACAACACCGTCTCAGCTTTTGGTTTTCTTTTTGCCCTTTACTTGCAGTAGAAGTCAGTCATACCAGAGAGGCGTCTGGTCTTATCAGAATTCATTGCAAGGAGAGATCTCAAAGTGATTTTGAAATGTGATTTTATATTAATGTTGTGGCTCAGGCAAAGACTATGGTCAGAATAAAATTAAACAAAAATGCAGTTGGATTTATATTAAAGTAACTGCAAACCGAGATTGTGCTTTACTGTTTTGAATTTGGATGAGAACAGTGTGCACCATATAATAACCTTGACATTAGGTTATGCAATTAAATTTCAAATAAATGTATTAAGCCTCTTATAATTTAATTTGTTCCATTTTGGCCAGAAGTAATCTTTCTTCTCTTCTGGCCTACTTTTTAGAAAATGCCTGCTCAAATTAGTTTGCACACAGATCTTTCTGATAAACTTAATTTTCACTGGAAGATTCATTCTCCTAATGGCTGTGATGGAAAATAGAAGATATACTGTAAAACTTTCTGCGGATGAGGGTTCTTAAAGTACTTCTGATAGCATTATGAATGGTCTACATCATGCTGTACGAGGTTTATTTCTCGTCCAGGATTTGGTTTGGGGTGATGAAAGCCCTTCCAGCAGCATTGCACGAGTCACTGTAGAAAGAAACTCTTTGGGACAATCTATTTCTGCTTCTAATGAGCTCAGGATCAGCAATGTCCTTGATGGTCAGATTGCAGCTGAATAATAGCCTGTGAAGTTTTAAGGAGAAAATATCACAAACATTCCTTCTGGGGAAGTATATAAGGGCTGACTTCAGTGGAACAAATCCAAAAGAGGAAGGGCAAAGAGGGCTGGCCATAATACCAAGGTCTATACAGAGATACAAGGGATGTGTCAATCAAAAGACTGCCAGAGTGCCTGTTCTAACACCTTATTCAAAATATGAATGTTTATTGCACATTTTGCAGCAAAAGAAGGGTGTAAGCATTAAAGATTTTAAAAGATTTTATTTGTAGGTTAATATCAATATAATAAAAATTCAACATCCTCAGATATGGTCTTTTGAAATTAGGTAGTACAGGGAAAAATCTTTGAAGATCCAGATTTGGTCCCACAGCTTCATTTTTGTTATTTCAGCTAATAATTTCATGTAAAGACTGTCAGAGTTGTCTAAAGGAGAGAATTAGCTTTCTAAATACACAGATTGACACTGGGGGCTATATATACTCTTTTTATTAATAAATGAATGTTTGTCAGGTGTATATGGAATGTCTCAAGAGCAAAAATAAAAATCTAAAATTATTTAAGAGCATGTATCTTACATATTTACCATTAGTTTTTAGCTAAGTGACAGAAATAAAGATCATAACGGATTTTGGTATTTTGCATTCATAATTAAATATTAAAATAATTTTGGCAATTGCTAATTAATTTACTAAAAAGTGCAAAATCATTCAAAGGATTATTAACTAAGAATAATAATTAAGAATACTGAATGTCTTCTGAGTAAAAAGGGAAAAAAAATCATTAATATTGGATTGTAACGTGTTGTTACCTGATTAAGCACAGAGTCAATTAAAATAGCTGAACTGCAGTTTACATCTACAGCCCTAAAATAATACTTACCTGTTAGAAAACCATTAAGTCTTTAGCGTGTGTTTGTGAAGTTTATGAAGGCAAATCCAAAGCGCTTAGCTTCAGGCAAATAAATGCCATTCTCTGCTTACTCAATTGGTACTGCCCAATTCCCTGGCTGCATGTACAGCTGGAGAAATAAAACCCGCTTAAATGTTTTTAGATTAATGCAGTTACAAATCAGAGGTACAAACCAATATTTCTAAATGAAACAGCCTTGTCAGTTTGAATTTTCGTGTATGCTGCAGAGTGGAAGGGGGGTGGTTTTGACACTTGTGATGGTCCAATTATTTTTCTGGCATAGAGATGCATGAAACAAATTGTACGTGAATTGGAAGAAGGAAGGGAGAATTCTGTACGAAATAATTGCTGTTATTCCCCAAATGGATCTTCTACAATTACATTTGATACCACATTTGATTGCCTTGCAATGGTTGGTTAACTAAAGCAATTTTGTTTCCAGTTGAGTTGCAATATTAATTGTACTTACACATGTATAACCATAAGGGATATCTCATTTGTATTTTAACAAGGGGAGTCTTTATGGATGGCCTATTAGCATCCACTTATTTGTATGAATACTGAAACTCAGACTTTTAGGAAATAATTATCACATTAAAATGCCACATAAAAAATCCTTTCAATATGCCTTATCTTTTAACCAATAGTGTCATTTTATATTCTTCTGTGTAAAAGATGATTTTCTGAGTCCTGTTATTTCTGAGACAGCATTTCCTGTGATGATAATGTGTAGGCTGGTGTTTATGTACCAACTGGCCTTAAAAGTAAAGACAAAAGGTCATGGAAATATTACTTTGGAATTATGATTTTTTTTTCTAGTACAAATATTGGCTGCATAAAAGTAGCTCAGCAAAGAAATGGAAGATAAAAAGGATAACTGAGATAAAACAAGTCTCGCATCACAAGAGTTGATGCAAGAGGTGACCTGCAAGAGCAGAGCAGTAGTAGGCATCTCTCTGTGCTTGACGTGTCTTGCAGATTGAAGATTTTTCAGGACTGTCTGTAATTTATTGTGGATGTTACAATACTAAAACGTTGCAACTTAAAAGCCTCAACTGGAAAACAAACAAACAAAACACCAAACTTTCAGCTTTAATACTGCTTCATTCTAAAGAGGCAGTTCAGTAAACACACTTTGACTTTTGAAAGAGGGAAAAGCTCTGTGAAGAAAACAAACTAGAACACTTTTTCTCTCAGGTCGTCAAAGATAGGGTACAGCTGTCCTACGGCTTGTACCTCTGATAGTCCTCTTGGGTGCAAAGAGCGTCTGTGGGAAATGATACGGTTTAGATTTTGCTTCAGACCTGGGGTACAGGGAACCGGTCCCCACAGGCACAAAGTAGGTGTGGGATCCTTTCCCAATAAAGTCATATATACTTTATAATTTTGTGGACGTTTTAACAACACTAACATGGGCAAAGTGTCAAAGCTGTCTGTATCTTCACACAGTGCTCTGATCCAAAACCCAGTGAAATAAATCTTCCATTGATTTTGATTCAGTTTAGATAAGGCCTCACACTTCTAAAGCCTATGTGATTTGGAAAAAAATATGCTGAATAATTGATTTAAATTGACAGGCAGATGGTCAAGGTTTTAGGAAGGATAATATTCTTCTCTGAACGGCTGTGCGCCACCTTTTTTTCTGTGACATATAGCTTTCATTTGTGTATAATTTAAGTTAAATGTGCCATATCTCACCGAAAGCAATGAAATTACCTTTTTTCTCTCAGTGATTGTTTGCACTTTGACATCTTTCTACTCAGGGGACACCTCTGTGTGGGCACTGGGTGTGGTAGGAAGGTGAGGTGCAAAGGAAATAAGAATGAATGATATTTACTGAAATTGGGTTGTTTTAGGGGTTGTTCTGATGTTTATTTGATGCTTATCAAATCACATACCTTTTTGATTCATAAAAATGCACTGTGAGTATTGCAGGAACAGGCATTTCTGCAAGTTTTTCAATAGTGCTTTCTCAAAACGAGACAGGAGATACAGCAGTTACAGCCTTTGAAGCACTCTCCCCTTACTTTCCTAGGATGTCCGTAATTAGTAAGAAGAGATTCATCCTAATGTAGCAATTCACTGTGAACATGTCCATGCTGAAGC